CCTACGAATACAGTTTTTTTTTTTTCCAGATTAAGTTTCTCACATTAGTATTCATGGAACTCTGTGTGTGTGTGTGTGTGTGTGTTCACTTTTAGTGTGTCCACACAGGACCGAGGTGTCCCAACACACCCATCACCCACCCCCGTGGCCCACCAGCACTTCAAAGCTCACCCCGTGACATGCCCAATGAGCCTGTTTGGTCATTATTTAAAGTAATTTGATGCCTTCTACCTGGACTCCCAGGTCTCCCCCCCTCCCCCGAGGCTTTACACAGTTTGTGAGAAGTTCCCTCTGGCCGGTTACATTCTGGGGGAGGCGGCAGGTGGGATAGGTGGGGAGGATGTTCACAGTGCATACAGGGAGCAAAATGGGAAGGGACTGGAGAATAAAATTATGTTGAAAAACCTGTGTGAAGCAATGAGGACACGAGTCTTTTCCACGAATTAAACGAGCAAAAGAGCATTCATTCAGACAGGCAGCTAGGAGAGCTCAGTGGGCATGGACAGCAGCTGGGCTGGCCCCGGCGGGACTGGGTCCTCTCTCTAGCATTGGTAGCCAACCCCAATTTGTTATGCCTCTCTTAAGAGCTAGTTGATAAAAATTATGTCTTGTGAAATCGGCAAATAGTCTGCAAAGTAAATGAGAACAGAAGTTAACAGATTAAACTAAGTGCCCAGAGGGGGAAAAGAGAGAAAACAGGGAGCCACTGACTGGGGTCATAATTCGAGCCCACATACTGATCCGTGGAGCTGGGGCGGGGTGGGGGAGGGGCGTATGGGGGACGCCTGAGCCTGGCAGGAAGGGGCGGGTTGCGCAGTGGCCGGCTGCCATCACCCTGTCTTCCTAGAGAAGAACTACTCCCTACTCTAGTAATTATCCAAAGGCATCGAGCCCGCTTTATCAGAGCATTTCACTATTTTCACAGAATCTAAAGGTGGGCAGCCGAAACCGGTTTGGTTCAGTGGATAGAGCATTGGTCTGCAGACTGAAAGGTCCCAGGTTCGATTCCGGTCAAGGGGCATGTACATTGGTTGCAGGCACATCCCCCGTGGGGGGGGGGGTGCAGGAGGCAGCTGATCGATGTCTCTCTCTCATCGATATTTCTAGCTCTCTATCCCTCTCCCTTCCTCTCTGTAAAAAACAAACAAACAATAAAATCAATAAAATATATTAAAAAAAAAAATAAAGGTGGGCAGAGGCAGGCATTGCTTAACACCTACTGTGCGGCCAGGAAAGTTGGCACAGGTTAAGTGGGGCTCCACTGAGAGGGATGCCAGCCACCCACAGATGAGATGGGTATTCATAGAAACAGCCAATTCAGGTGAAAAGGAGGACCCCAGAAAAGGTTAGATTGTAGGTTCCTCAAAGGAATACTTTAAAAAAATATATATATATTTTATTGATTTTTTACAGAAAGGAAGGGAGAGGGATAGAGAGAAAAATCAATGAGAGAGAATTATCGATCAGATGCCTCCTGCACACCCCCTACTGGGGATGTGCCCGCAACCAAGGTACATGCCCTTGACCGGAATCGAACCTGGAACTTTTCAGTCTGCAGGCCGACGCTCTATCCACTGAGCCAAACCGGTTTCGGCTCAAAGGGATACTTTTTAAAAAACATATTTTATTGCCGAAACCATTTTGGCTCAATGGATAGAGCGTCAGCTTGGGACTGAAGGGACCGGGGTTCGATTCCGGTCAAGGGCATGTACCTTGGTTTCGGGCACATCCCCAGTAGGGGGTGTGCAAGAGGCAGCTGATCGATGACTCTCTCTCATCGATGTTTCTAGCTCTCTATCTCTCTCCCTTCCTCTCTGTACAAAAATAAATAAAATATATATTAAAAAAACAAAACAAAACAAAAAACAAAACAAAACAAAACAAAACATATTTTATTGATTTCAGACAGGAGGGGAGAGGAGACGTAGAAACATCAGTGACGAGAGGGAATCATTGACTGGCTGCCTCCTGCACGCCCCACGACGGGGATGGAGCCCACAACCTGCCCTAGACCAGAGTCGAACCTGGGACCTCCATCCATTGGACCAAACCAGCTGGGGAAGGAATACGTGGTTTTGAGTGGAAGCACCTTAACAGGTAAGAACCTTAGCGGCGCTCCGGACCTGGGTGTCTTCCGTTTCTGTCCGCTAGCTACTTGGAATTGTCCCACTAGGAGGGAGTCGGAGGGGCAGGGAGGGTGCAGGATCCACGCGCATCGCAGGAGAGACTGGAGGTGGGAGTGGGGGAGGTGGGCACAGAGAGCACGTGGAGAAGAGAGGCCACGAGGAAGAGACAGCAGGACAGTTGGTGGTGGCGGGACAGCTGTGCTGATGTCCGACTCACAGGACTCAGGGCACGGGGAGGGCCCACAGGGAGCCTCCTCGGCCAGATCTACTAGAACGTTCCTCACTGACACCAGGCAAGAGACGGATGTCACGACATTGCCAAGCTTCCCTCACGGGGGCCCTGCCCTGCAGCCCAGGCTCCAGAGGGTCCAGTCCGGTTCTCAGGGAGACGCCGCTCATGAGATCTCGCTGGGAAGCCCCAGGGACTCCCCAGTGTGTGGGAAGCCCCACTGCTGGGGAGTTCTGGGAACAGACAGAGTCCCCTCTCCACAGGGGCTCCTCCAGGCTGCAGGGGACGGACCTGGACCAGCCAGGCTCCTGAGTGAGGGCTGTGAGGGGCGGGAGCAGCCACCCCCTGACCCTCTGAGAGCAGGCGGCCGCACTCTGATGGCCGCAGGTGAGGACCAACAAGAGGCTTCTCGAGTGTGAGTGGGATGGGAATCTGAACAGTTTGATGGCCGAGGAAGAACAGAACAGCCAGGTCCCAGGGGTGAGCGAGCCTGTCTGGATGCTGCGAGGTCTGGTTTCTGCCCCTTTCAAACCCGTAAGATTGTTAAGCGGTGGGACCTGCTGACCGTGATAAACAAATGGGCCCTGGGCATGGCCACTGCAAGCCCGTTCCCTGGCCGTTCCCAGCCCCTCTCCGGCCCGAAGCCTCGGCTGATAAGGTGGGCACCTGGGGGAGCCCCACCTCGTTCTCCGGCCTCAGTTGTGCATCTCCTTCTGCTTAGGACAGACTCAGGGGTGCAGGTCCCTGAGACAGAGTTCTACCAGACATTTCCTGGGCTGGCTCTCAGAGATGGGGCCCACGCTGTCACCCCATATTAGGGTCCCCTAACTCTGTCCTCCTGGGATGAGTGCTGTGCCAGCTTGATTGTGAGGGAGGTGGCTGCGCCAGGCGCACAGGGTGCTGTCAGGGAGGCAGGAGTGCAAGCCTGGTCTCCTTCCCTCTAGGAAGGGAGCAGGGGAGGGAAGGCTGCCTGAGATTGCCACCAGCTGGGGAGCTGAGCAGATGGAAAGGAATGGGGGATGCGGATGGTGGCACACGTGTGTGTGTGTGTGTGTGTGTGTGTGTGTGTGTGTAACGAGACCTCCCACCATAATATGCACTTCCTTTATGATCTTTCTGTTGTGAAGAAAAGGTTCTATATTCTCACTGATGGTAGCCATCAGTCACATATGACTACGAGTAACTGAAATTTTCATTTTACTTCATTTTAATTACTCTCAATCTAAATTTTAGTAGCCACATGTGGTGGTGGGATCTTACTGGACAGAAGGACGCTAGAGAGCGAGCGGTGGGTAAGGCCCAGGTCCCCTGCACTGCCCGGAGCAGGCTCTACTCACTGGGCCCGGCGCCCCACCTGTAACCGGGGAAGTCCAATGGAGGCTCAAACTCCGGCCCAGCGCCGGCCGCTCTGGGGGTGGAGCCTGCCATCCTGCTGGGAGCCCGCAGCCACTGAGGCAGCCGTCTCTAGAGAAGCCTCACCCTGACGGAGACACTGCCCAGCCCCAGGGAAGGGGACACACTCATGGGGGCCCCCCCTCCCCCCAACTCCTCCATCTGAAACCTCTGCTCCAACACCTCCTCACCCTACAATCAGAAAGGTGCACAGACCTCAGTGACCATTCTGCACAAACTCTCATCCACAGAAGACAGAAGCGAGGTCCCGAGACGGAGCGATCTGCCCACGGCCATGCACAGCCTAGGGCTCTGTCTCCCATATGGCACGGCTCTAAGTGTCCCAAATGCCTCCTGACCTGTCTCCCCGCCTTTCCCCCCAAACTGGAATCAAACGCTGGCCGAGCCCTGCACACGCCCACCTCAGTGGTTTCAGAACAGTCTCTCGGGCTAGGGCATGCTCCTCCTGCGTCTCAGGTGGAGGTTCCCGCCTGAAGCCCAACTCCCCACAGAGCCTCCTCCCCCAGCACAGAACCCAAGAGGCCAAACCTCCACTCCTGGGGGTCTCCAGAAACCCCACTGTGCTTGGTACACAGACACCCCAAGCTTCCCCCCTCACCCCCCGAAAAGCCAAGTGCCGGAAAGTCTCCTTCCTTTAGCACCCCGCACCCCCACCCCTACAGGATCCTGCCCACCCTGCTGCCATCTGGGGTGGGGCCTCGGGCCTCCCAGCTACCAGGGGGCTGCAGCAGCCTGGACATATCAATGTGGGCTTGGCCTTGAGTCTCTGATGCCCACACAGAGAGGAGGGAGAACCTAAACACTTTCCCAAGACCAAAAGCAAATGCCAACCCCAATAGCACAGCCAACATTCACCAGGACAGGAAGGCTCAGGGCAGAGCTGGAGGGGGGCGTGGGGAGACATGGACAGCAGGCAGGGCGAGAAAGAGCGGGGAAAGAAAACGCTGGCTGAGAGCTCAGTCCCCAGTGAGGGACTCCCCAGCAGGATATGAGCAGGGGAGGGCGCCTGCCTCAGTCTCCCTTCCCCCTAAAAAGCGGCCACTCTCAGGCCAGTGGGAACTCCAGTCAGTCGCAGCCTGAGCTGCCCATGGCCCTGGTGAAATGGATTTGAAATCAGCACCCACAGGCCGCTTCTGGAATGGATGGATGAGTTGTGTTCTCTCTAGGGGTTCCCCTCCCCCCAAGTGCAGCCCACAGCCGAGGTTCTAAAGCCCCCGGAGACAGACACTCACCTGGGAACTGGTAGCCGTAGCTGGGAGCGAATCCGGGGTAGCCGCGGCCGTAGGTCGCCACGAAGTTGGGGTAGCCTTGAACACAGAGAAAGCAGTCCTGTTAGCACAGCCGCCTGGGTCTGGCGGGACCGCGGGCAGGGCGAGGGGACAGCCTGAGTGTCTCCTCCACAGAGTGACCGTCTCCCCTGAGGGTCTGTACCCGGGGCAGGTCACTCCTCTCCCCGGGCTGGGGACGCCGCCGTCCGCCTGCTGGTAATTAACCCGCGTTTGGGCAGAGAGAGCCCCAAAGCCCACGGCTTTGTTGACCTGCAGAGTAAATGCCAGGCATTAGCACCGAACTCGGCCCGTGCCCGGCAATGACATTTGGAGAGCTTAGCCTGGATGTACTTTACCGTAAAGCTATTGACACTGGGAGATTGAAGTCCGGCGGCGCCAGCCCAGGCTCAGCCTGTGTCTGTCCTGAGTTAGCGGGGAAACTCAGGGCTTACACCGGGCCTGATGAGCCATGTGGGTCCAGAGGAGGTGGGTCCCAGGCCCTCGTCCAAGCACACACACTCCATGGAGGACCAGAATATTCCCGGGAGAACAGCGAGGGGCTGGTTGTGTTCAGATGTGCATCACAAAGCTTAGCCTGAACCCGGAAGCCTGTGTCACATGTCTCGACAGGCATTTTGTAGCAACTGTCTATTTTCCAGACATCTGACCCAGCAGGCAGGCGAGGGGGTGATGGGCGAACTGAGGATGCATGCTGGGTGGGCATGGGGTGCAGATGAAAATCTGGCTGGTGGTGTGGCCTTCTCCTTCCTGCTATGAGATGTCACTTCCCTCTATGTCCCTGCCTCTTAGTTCAGCTAGAGGAGGCTGGTGTAGCCTCCCGGACTGAGCTTCCACTGGCCACAGGAGGCCCACAGTGCCCACCCTGCCAGGCTCACGTGGTCTCCTTCCACGTGGAGTTCTCCCCCTCCACCTCCCCTGCCACCTCCACCGGCCTGACTTTGGCGTTGACCTCTGAGATTGTTGTCTGCGGCCGTTTGTTGGCTGCCCATCACCTGGTGCCCCTTCTCTGTGAGTCTCGGAGAGAGGCCTCTCTCCCTTCCTGGAAGCAGCGAAGGCCTTCCTCCTGCTCTGAGGCTGCCCAGATGAGCCAGGCTGACCCTGACTGCTGAGGAGCAGGACCCGAGCGAGACTCAGAAAGAAGAGGAGCAGAGGGGCAGAGACGAGGGACAGGGACCAAGACGTGGCTGCCCTGAGTGGACACACACACACACACACACACACACACACACGCAGGCTGCTTCTTGGGAACTTATTTCACGGCTGGCCAGCTCCATTCTCCTCTGAATTAATCACCTGCGATCAAATCCGATCTTTCAGCACTGGATTTCTTATACCATTATTTCAACAATATTGATAAACGGATTACATGCATGCAGCCAAGTCACTGCTGCCTGAGGCCTTTTTGCATGAAAAATGACTCATTTTCTCCTAACGCCTGTGCTGGGGGGGCGTCTTAAATATTTTAGTGCTAATCTGACAGCAAAACTGCAAGCCCATAGGTCACCTTCCAGACTCCTCGGGTGGGTGTGGGAGTGGGGGGTGAACTGCCCAGTCCCTCCCTGACTCGTGTGGGCCAGCAGGAGGATTCCATTTTATCTGCTTTCCTCTTGGCGTGCTCGAAAGTCTTCAACAAGAAGGAAGAGAGGCATGGTCAAGTTCACACAGATTGGGGCCTTACCCCCATCTTCCTGGAGATGTCAATATTGTCTCCCGAACAACAAAGGTGAGAATTTGGCAGCTGCCAGAGTGGGGGTGTGGGTCTGATCGCCACCCCCCATCGCCGAACATCTTCTGGGTCAGGCAGATGAAATCATAAATTTATAATACAACATTTCTTCAATTTTCCTCTTCATTTACTGCTGTGCAGCCCAGCTCTGCTCCAGCGGCTCCCGGCCCCAGCCCACGGGGAGATGGACTGGCTGCATATCAATAGCACATTACGGCGGGCCCGTATGGCGGCTCCATCAGGCCACATTACGGGGAGGTGACCCAGCCACCACTTCCATTAGCAGCCGGGCCCCTCCTGCACTGGCTGCTGCGCAATTTATTTGCTCCAGTACTCTGGACGCCTGATCAATCCCACAGTAATTATCTCTTGTCACTAAAGAAAAACCAAGCCTTCTGCCTGGATGGCCACCTTTCTCACCGAAAGGCTTTCCACTCGGGAAAAAGAAACTCAGAAATCTATAGTCGAATCTGAGAGTTTGCCAGCCAGCTCAGTCTAGTGCCCCCTCCCCGGAGTTCTCAGAAGTCTGGGTCTAGGCCTTGGCGCCACCCTCAGGTGTCTGCTGTGCCAGCCGGGCACACGACTGGGCCTCTCTCGGGCTCCGTTACTCAGCTCCTCGGAGGCTCGGAGAGTTGCTCCCACTGGGCCCTCGACTTGAGAGACACAAGAGACAAGGACTGTGGATGTGTGGCCCCTGCTGTGGGGGTGAGGGCACCGCCCGGGGTACCACACTGGCCATGAGACCGGCACACAAATACAACTCCAAGTGCCGAGAACAGATCACAGGCAAAAGGTCTGCAAGGTGCCCAGCCCCAGAAGCATCCAGAATCACGGAGCTCCCCCGGACCTGTGCTGTCCAATTTAAATGTAATTTAATTTAAGTGATACAAAACAAAAACTTCAGTTCTTTGACAAGAGAACCACACAGTCGATGCTCAACGGTCACCTGGGCGGCACAGAGCTGGCACCTCCCACGTCACGGGACGTCCCAGTGGACTGTGTGGCTCCCAAGGAAAACGAGGGGCTGGGTTCCGTGTTTCCTCTGTTTACCGGGGAACAGCTGAGCAAGCGGAGACCTCATGGCTATTTTGGGGAAAGACAGATCCCTGGAGAAATTACAAGGAGTCCAGTCCTGCGGCCATAAGTCCCGGCCCATCCCCGTGTGGGCTGTGAGTGGGTGCCAGCTGGTTCCAGCGCCTTGTCCTGCTCCATTTCCGAGGTGCTTCACGCCGGGGAACGCTGGGTGAGGGTTTCCCAGGGGCTTCCCAGCACCACTTGGACGGGAATGCCTCTGGCTTCCTTCACCTGGGCAACGGGCTCTCCACGTGGGCCTGCCGGGTGAGGCTTTTCAAGGCTTTGGCAACGAGGCGTTTTTTTTTCCGGCACTGGTATTGACCCTGTTAGAGCCTGTGCCTGGCCAGGCCAGGGGAGGGCAAGGCAGTAGGACGATGTGGCAGAGAAGGCCAAGAGGAATCAAATCTATCAACAATAATTACTTTTTTTTTCTTTTTCTTTATTAAGTCCATGTCCGTTGAGGAAAACCAGGGAGTCTAGTGCACGGAGCTGGGTAACCGTGGGCACCTCTTTGCTGCTGCGCAGAGACCTTTGCTCAGGGCCTCAGTTGATTTGCGTTTTGTCTGGCTCAGAGGCAGGGAGACCTGACCCCTCCTCTTCTCTCCTGTGTTCTTTTTTAAGGAACACCCACTGGGCCCATCATTCTATGATTCTGTCAAAGGCTGTGAAAGCCAAAACCCAAACAGCTGCAGGTTCCCCCCAAGGATGTCTGCTGCCACATCAAGAGAGACGGAGAAAGAGTAACTGGAACTATACGCTCATCAGCCTTCCTGTGAAGAGGATGCCCCGCCGCCACCGCCGGAGAAGTCTTGGGGATATTTAACAGTTCGTCCCGCCGTGTCCCGGTCATTTGCCGACCAGTGTGTCTGCTCTCACCAGATGTCAGCTCCCGGGGGTCAGGCTTCATTCTCTGCTGCTGTCCCAGCATCCAGAACGGGCGTGGCCCTTAGCGGGCCCTCAATAAATAGTTATTGAACGAATGGATTTTAAAACTTTAATAGCTTATAGTCTCACTTCTAGAAAGCCCTATCAGTGCCTTTTCCGCCCTTTCCATAAAAATGTTTAAGTCACTGAAACCTCATCTCATTCCATTCATCAATACATTTTTTTAAAAAATGTTGTGTGTGAGCTGAGATCGTTAGCCAGGTTGTTGGTGGCGATGGTGATGATTCCAGGACTGCCACGCAGGCCTTGCACAGCAGGGAGGGGGCCCAGGTGACTGATGGGGCCCACTGAAGGGTTAGACTTCCCCGAAGCCACCACTTTGGAGGGAAGGAGCAAGTGCTTCAGTCACAGCACAGAAGGCACCCTCCTCACCCAGAGCCCAGGATGCCAAGCTGTGCCAACGGACAGAATGGAGGACACTTCTGGCAGGGGCACTGGAGAAGCCTCAGGGGAGACGCTGGCCTGGGCAGGGAGGCGACAGGCCAACCAGACTGTGACACTGTCAGCCTGTCCCCAGGTCTTGGCCGATCCACCCCTTCTGCCGGACCTTGGGCTGAACTGGTTCCTGAGGAACCAGAGCTACTCAGCCACTCCCTCCATCCTCTTCTCTTTCCACCTAAAATGTCACCTCCACCGGGAGGTGTTCCCTGACTCCTCAGACTGGTTCTATTCCCCTTTACTTTCCCTGAAGTCACCCTGTCACTTTCTCTATTATGACAGACTAGAGGCCTGGTGCACAGATTAGTGCACCAGTAGGGTCCCTCGGCTTGGCCTGCAGGGATTGGGCAGAAGCCAAGGAAGCTCACTGGAGCACGATCAGGCCAGGAAGGAATGTGGGAAGGGCTCCAGGGCGTGTCCGGCCCGTCTTCCCCAGTCCTGATAGGCTGGACCCCAGCAGCAAGTTAACCTATGGGTCAGAGTATCTACCTCCTGGTGGTCAGTGCACGTCAGAGCGACTAGTTGAACAGTCGAACAGTTGGACACTTAGCATATTCGGCTTTTATTATATAGAAGGATTAGATTTCTGGGTGACTGGCTGTTACATACTGTCTCTCTCACTAGAACACAGCTCCATGAGGTCAGGGACCATGTCTGTCTCCCAGCGCTAGCCCAGGGCGAGGTGCACAGTCGGCATCCAACAAGGCCCTCCTGCTGTGGCTCCCATGATGGGTGCCCTCTGTGTAGGGTGTCTATAGAGACATGGACCCTGAGCCCTTTGCTCTTTTGGCGACTGAGTGAACAGGCTCCGCTCCACACCTCTGCTTCTCCTGCAAAACACCTAGGCCACTCTTCACCCAGTGAAGGGCATGGAATTAGACTCAGAAAGGTGGGGCAGCACCCTGAGAAAGCCTCCATGTCATGCCCGAAGGCCTTTATACAGACTCCAAAAGCCAGCAGGTGGAAATGAACTCAACTCATTACGTTTTTAAAAGACTTAAGCCATTCAGGGTTTCTTTTGGTACACAACACAGGGTAAAGATCAAATAAAAATTATTATTTAAAGTAAGAGCCAGACAAGTGCCTTGCAGTCAAGCAGGAAATAATTCTAATTTCCTTTTTTTTAAATATATTTTTTATTGATTTCAGAGAGAGAAAGAAGAAGAGAGAGACAGAAACATCAACGATGAGAGGGAATCATTGATTGGCTGCCTCCTGCAGGTTGGACTGAACCCAGGCATGTGCCCCCGACTGGAATCAAACCTGGGATCCTTCGGTCCATGGGCTGACTAACAGACTAGGGCCTGAGCCTAACAGACTAGGGCCCTCACTGATTTCTTTTAAAAATCTTATAATAATTACACCCTTACGTAGAAATATATTTAGTTCTGGTAATTTAACCTTTTCCACTAATAAATGCATTCCTCTATACCACAGTATTTTTAAAAATAAATTTTATTGATTTTTTTTTTTTTTAACAGAGAGGAAGGGAGAGAGATAGAGAGCTAGAAACGTTGACGAGAGAGAAACATCAACCAGCTGCCTCCTGCACACCCCCTTCTGGGGATGTGCCCGCAACCAATGTACATGCCCTTGACCGGAATCGAACCCGGGACCTTCCAGTCCACAGACAGATGCTCTACCACTGAGCCAAACTGGTTTCAGATATACCACACTATTTTAATTACTGTAGTTTTGTGCTATGTTCGTATACTCCATCAAACTAGTCTTTTCTCATGTCTCCTTTTAACGCATTTTCTCACTTATTCTTAGTGTTTTTTCTTCCAGATATGTTTTAGAATCATTTTCCCAGTTTTTAAAGTCTTACAATAGGATTTTTCTTTGAAACCGTTAAACCTAAAAATACTAATTTGAGAATAAACATCCCAGCTGTTTTCCATATCCTCATGGCATCTCTCTCCGTTTTAAATTACTCAGAATAACTTCAACTGCCCTCATCATTTCCTCAGAAAAATTATTTTCAAGAATTTACGAGACCCAGGAAACTTTTACAAATGTAAAACTAAGCCAGGAATGATTTGAACAGCAGCAAATCTGAAAATACATAAAGAGCTTATCAAACAATGTAGAGGAGGGACTCTTGGCCAAACCAAATGAAAACCCATTAAAACTAGCAGATCGTGTGCCTAAATAGGATTTTTAGCATAACTACCATTTATCCCACTTAATTAATATTTTCCCGACACACAATAACTTGCACTAGAATACCGCTCTCTTGCCTTGAAATTTCTAATTATTGCTGCGACCCACACCATTATGCTACTCCACGGCTTTCTCCATCTTTCATGCCATTTAAGCGGCAAGATTTTCAATTATCTACGCAGGACGGACAGAGATACTTTTAAGGAAGGGGCATAATATGCAACTCAATTTCTCTAGAAGCCAGGGGAGATCGTTTTTTGCCAGGACAAACACACTTGTCTTTCATCATTCCCCCCCGACATAAAGAATAAAACAGGCTATTTAAAACATCCATTAAAATGCAAATTTTGATATCCCAAGAGAAAAATGTTAATCATTTAAATAGGCAGGATTATCGGCCACCCTCACCACTTCCCACCTCTCTCAAGTTTCAGAAGATGTAGCCTCAGCCCACACAAGTTCAGCCAGCCAAGGAGTCCTTAGGTCCTTACAAACTCCCAGTTAGGAGAGAGGGCTGGGACAGAGGGAGGGAGTGACTTTTCCTCCCTTTGAAGGAAGGGGTGGAAAGAAAGAAAATATCTAGTCCCTCCTATAAGCCAGACATGGGACAAGATGATCATCTATTCCTCCCTCCCTCCCTTCCTCCATCTCTCCATCCATCCATTACTCCTTCCCTCCAATCACTTATCCCTCCCTTTTTCTCTCCCTCCATTCACCCATCTCTCCCTCCCTCCCTCCTTCCATTCCTCCCTCCATTTATCCTTCCCTCCATCCATCTATATGAGGTTCATTTAATAGTCACAATTGCCTTGCAAGGGGGATTGTCATTCTCACCTACAGACAAGGAAACTGAGGCCCAGACAGGTAAACAGCTTGCCTAGCTGGTAGGCGGGTGCAGGCTTCCAAAGCCCCCAGCCCATGGTGTCCCATCCAGACTCACCCAGCATCCCCATGCCAAGCATGAACGCGTCCATGGTGTAAGGCAGCCCCCGGGCCCGGCCTCTTGTCCCAGGTGGGAACATGACTTCCTTCGGCTGAGCTTTCTTACATTCTACCTGTTAAACAGAGAGGCGAACAAATGAGATGCAAATGAATTCCACGTAAATGTCAAATGCAGAGCTGATCTGGTTACGGGCTGGGTTATTTTTAGCCTTGCTCCTTACTCACTGTAAAAATAGCTGTGCAGAGTAAATGGCCTGCAAAATAAATATTTAAGAAAACACACCATTTGCGCAAATCCTGCTTCAGAAAAACCTACAAGGATGAAATTGGGTTTGGAAGGGCAGCGAGGACGTAAGCTTAAGGTACACACGCGTGGGTCGGGAGCTCAGAGTGTGTGGGTTGGGAGCTCATGAGAAGCAAGGAGGCTCTCAGGGCTGTTTGTGGCGTCTGAGGACAGTAACAACCCCGCATGGCTGGATGGGCCTGTACGTGTGTACAGAGTCCTCGTGGGTTCCTTTCAGTCAGTGACTCTTCACACCGGGGCCCTCCGACTCCACCTCTGGTTAAACGGAGAGGCCAGCTAGTCTTAGTCCCATTTCACAGATGAGAAAACGGAGCGTCAGAAGACTTGTGCCACGGGCGGTAAACCGTACCCTGGCAGGAGCAGGCCTGAGGATGGATTTTTAAAATTTCTAAGTCAGTGATGGCACTATCGCTATAAAACCATCGCCGGCACACTCCTGAAGGAAGAAATAAAATAAAACGCTGCTTCCGCCCATCTGGATTACAGGTTTCTTATTTTGCACCACGTCTTCAAGGGGTTGATAATCGTGTCTGTTTCCTTCCGCCTCCAAAATTTCATAATCCTATCTTGCTCACACACCCAGAAGTTACTTATTCAATAACATATATCTATATCTACCTATCTCTATGTCTACCTATCTAAATAACATATAATGCAAGCCCCAGGAAATAAGTAAAACTGTTGCTGCTGAAGTTCCTACAATATTTTCCCAGGGTTCCTTAGGCCCTTACTCAGCATTACTTGCTCTTAGTTGACAGATAAACCGAACAGGCACTGCTAGCCAGTGGTCAGTCCCACTGCTGATGAAGATGGGATGTCCTAGGGTAAGACAGAGATCCTGAAACTGCCCACACCATCAAGGATACGCATATCCGAAAACCCACCAAGCATCTGAAGGATGTCACCAGACAGAAGCCATGTGTGCCATCCGTTGTTACAATGGTGGGGTTGGTAGGCGTGCCCAGGCCAAAGAGAGGGGCTGGGCACAGGGTCACTGGCGCAGAAAGAGTGCTGAATTTGGCTGCATGTACTTAAGGATGCAGAAAGCAACGCCGAGCTTAGGCTTTACACGTAGACTCTCTGGTCACTGAGCACATCCAGGTGAACAAAGCTTCCAAGACGCAGTGGAGAACTCACAGAGCTCATGGGCGGATTAACCCACACGTGAGCTCTCCTGCCCTATGAGACGATCCTTAGTGAAAAGAGCAGATTGTTCCTAAGACGGAAGAGGAGGTTGCACAGAAGAAAACGATATCCCAGATGAACTGAGGAATCAAAAAACTTATGACCCGGAAGTAAATTCAGCATAAAATAAGTGCTAATAAAAGTTAAAAAAAGAAAGAGCCCGGCTAGTGTGGCTCAGTGATTGAGTATTGACCTAATGGAAGTCATGGTTCCATTCCAGGTCAGGGCACATGCCTGGGAGGGAGGCTCGATCCCCAGTGGGGGGGGGGGTGCACAGGAGGCAGCTGATCAATGATTCTCTCTCATCATTGATGTTTCTCTCCTTCTCTCCCTCTCCCTTCCTCTCTCTAAAATGAAAGGAAGGAAGGAAGGAAGGAAGGAAGGAAGGAAGGAAGGAAGGAAGGAAGGAAGGAAGGAAGGAAGGAAGGGAGGGATCAGAATTGGGTGTATCAGATTTCTCCCCTAAACCTAGTGTGACAATTTGCTCCCGGACACCAGGTCTCACCACCCCCAGGACTCAGAAGCAGGCTGAGAAACCTCATTTGCAAGAGCCTGCCCGAGCAGGGTGTGCTCTGCGGAGGCAGACAGATAATTACCTGACGATAACACCAGGATCCGGAATAATACCGCTAACCAGCTCACTTCCTAATAGCCCTATCGGTGACAATCTACTGCATTGTCTTATGAAAACCCGCTGCCTGTTCCTAGGCAACCTGATCAACGAAAATTTCAGGTTTATACAATTTTCATTTAGGGAACATAAAGGTTAACTGACTGTAATGGGAATATTTTAAACAAACCCACCTACTCTTCATCTCTCTGAGAAGGGCTGGCAGCTCTGTTTAATTCTGCTGTCGCCACTGGTGTTGTTTTGGGCAGCGCCAAGTGCGTGGGTTCTGTCAACCACTGTTGTGCCAACCACGGGCACTCCCTGAGGCCAGGGGATGGGACGGGCATACTCTCTCAGGGACCCCGGCACCTCCCAGGCACTTGAGTGACAGGGAGCCTGCCTGGCCTGCACTGAAGGCTTCTGGGAAGATGTCTCAGGACCAGGAGGTCTGCCCACCCAGCCCCGATCCTCTTGAGGATGTTGGATGAAGAACACACACAAAAGGGGAAAGAGGCAGAACTATCTGTATTGCAAGTCCTTCTAGTGGATCAGGGGCTCGCTAAGGATGGAACTCTGTCCTTCACCCATCACACAGGAGGAAACCTCATCTCCCCCATCAGACAGTCCTTAAGGCGGGCATCAGGGTCAGTCCCGTCTTCCCTGGTGCCTCAGTGAAGGTCCACACACAGCGTGGACTCACTCACATGCTCGTTATGGCCAAGGTGACCATCTGTTTAACTCAATGGGGCTGAGCAACTCCAAACACCGCAAATGCTGGGCTGGGGAGGTGATGGGGGCGAGAAAGGGGGAAGAGAGACACAGAGATATATAAGGCAGCCCCACCTTCGAGAGCCCTCATTCTTCTGAAAAGCGCCGACCTGTCATGTTCTCCTGGCATTAAGGCAAGTCCTCACTCGTCAACCAGACCTTGTAACTCCTGGGCCGGCAGCCTCTGGAGCCTCTTGAGTGATAGACCACATTTGGGTCACACCCACCCCTCCCCTAACTCTGCCACCTCCCCACCGGGCCCTGAGCAAACCAGAGGACTTGGCATGGACAAGCCGAGTTATAGTCAGAACCAACACGGGGAAAACCCGAAGCCCAAGTCACTTCCTTAGGTCAGTCATCTGGCCACACGCTGTGTCCCGGCCAGCTGCGCAACGGATACCCCAGACTTAGTGGCTTCGAGCAACAATTTATCATTCTTCCTCGTGGTTCTGTGAGTTGAGTGGGCTCAGCGGGGCTCTGGCTGGCTGTCTCTCATGTGTTTGTGGTCAGATGGTGGCTGGGGCTGAAACCTGAGAGCCTGGACTCGGAGCGAGGAATAAAATTCACCAGTTTATTCCTCACTCACGAGGCACCTACTCCTGGCTTCTCCATGGCCCTCGGGCTTCTCACAGTGATGGCAGCCGCGTCCCAAGCACAAGCACGCCAAGGACAGCCGGCGCTGCCAGGCTTCTTCCAGCCCGACCCTGGGAGTCTCCCTGCTATTCCATCCTGTTCTGCTGGGGACCAGCTTGGACTGGGTGTGGGGTACGGGTACGTGAATCCTGGGGGGCATAGCTCAAGGGCCGTCCGTGGAGACTAACCAACACATGAGCTCAGGGAAGAGCAGTGAGCAGACCATCGGGGGACGGGGGTGGGGGGGAACTATTCCTCTCACCCTTGGTGTCCAGCTGGCTGGGTTCCTGGGGCAGTGGGCACTGAGGCTGCCTTCACCAGGGGGACCCAGCAGGACATGGGAGCTCCCTCCCAGGGCAGCCCAGAGAGGCTTATCTGGCCCCCAGGTCGACAGAAGTGCGATGGAGGGTAGGGGTCGAGTCTGAGGAGAGAACATCTCTGAGTCTTGGTCCTTGAATCTCCTCAACCAACATTTCAGCCCCCACCTCCACAGCGCCTCCTGGTGGCTGTGCTGCTACTGCCTCAAAGGCAAGCGCAGAAAACCAGTCAGGTTGGCGGGGGCCAGAGATGGAGCAGGAGGTGACACTTGGAGCCGTGCTTATAAGAAGCCCAGAGGACACTGTGACCAGCTGCTCATACTGGGAAGACGAGGTCTCCCATTTTCCAGTGTCACAGCTGACAAAGCCAAGAAGCAGTCCCACCCCAGGGACTGAAGACCAGCTTCCCAAAGGTAGATGGCACTGGCTTTGAAATGCCCATCTCCAAGCATGCTGCTCCGCTTCAGCAACTGGGCTGGGAGGAGAGGAGGGGCCTCCCGTGGCCCACGGCTCTGGGTCCGGAAGGACGGCCTTTAGGAGGACTCACAGGCTGACGTGAGCTTGCACATGTGTGAGCGCCAACCCTCCGTGCTGGCTGCCTCCCCCATCAGGGTCCAAAGCAACTCAGCAAGGGCCGCTTCTAATCTAACTCGCTACTTAGAAATAATTTCACTTACAGGGAAGTCGCAAGGACAGCCCAAAGCACACCTGTACCCTTTACCCAGATCACCTGTTGTCAACGGGCTGTCACTCTGCTTTCTCATTTGCACACGCTCTCTGACTGTAGCTATGATTTCCCACCCCTGACCATCTGAGGGGGGGAAATGCCTTTCCCAAACATAAAGACATTTTCTGATGTAACCGCAGCGCAGTAATCAACCTCCTACATTTAACACCGATGTCCTCTATCACCGTCTCTCCACCTTACAGAACAGGAAGCCGAGGCCCAGGATGTCAGACACCTGGCCTAGCACTGCCGACTGGTCCGTGTGTGGCACGGCTGGGTCTGAGCCCAGATCTGCCTGATGCCATGGCCCGGGCCCAGTGGGTCCTCTGCCATGCCCTAAGGGGGAACGTTTGGCACTGGCTTTCGGAGAAGGCCGCTGGGAGTTCTGTGGGGGCAGCTTCTCAGCAGCTACTCGGAGTGGCTGCCCCTCTCCCTGCCCCCCAGCTGGCCCGGAGCCCTCCCTGAGGCAGCTCCCGGCCTGGCACCCTTTGGAAGAGGAAGAGGCTGGCAGTCTGAGAAACCAGGGTCTGGGAAGTGAAAAGGCTTTTGTTTTTTCCTGGTTTCTACAC